CAAATTTCTTTGAGGCAGAATGTGATGAGAGCGAAGTTCTGCAAAAGACCTGCTACATGATGATGACACATTTCATTCTTACGTACATTTCGTCCTTAACAAAAATTTCGCACTTACACATTTCACACACACACACACGCGCACGCGCACGCGCGCACACAGACACACACACGCACACACACACACATACACACACATACATACATACATACATACATACAGACAGACAGACAGACAGACAGACAGACAGACAGACAGACAGACAGACAGACAGACAGACAGACAGACAGACAGACAGACAGACAGACAGACAGACAGACAGACAGACAGACAGACAGACAGACAGACAGACAGACAGACAGACAGACAGACAGACAGACAGACAGGACAGACAGAACAGACAGACAGACAGACAGACAGGACAGACAGACAGACAGACAGACAGGACAGACAGACAGACAGACAGACAGACAGACAGACAGACAGACAGACAGACAGACAGACAGACAGACAGACAGACAGACAGACAGACAGACAGACAGACAGACAGACAGACAGACAGACAGACAGACAGACAGACAGACAGACAGACAGACAGACAGACAGACATACAGACAGACAGACAGACAGACAGACAGACAGACAGACAGACAGACAGACAGACAGACAGACAGAACAGACAGACAGACAGACAGACAGACAGACAGACAGACAGACAGACAGACAGACAGACAGACAGACAGACAGACAGACAGACAGACAGACAGACATACATACATACATACATACATACATACATACATACATACATACATACATACATACATACATACATACATACATACATACATACATACATACATACATACATACATACATACATACATACATACATACATACATACATACATACACACATACATACATACATACATACATACATACATACATACATACATACAAGGTGTACTTATAAACATTTATCATTTGCACATGCTGAAGTTACCAGGGGATCTGGACGACGCTCAACACTCAATGAACGGGAAGGAGAGACAGATTTACAATCATACAACGATTGGTACCATCCGAAGTGGAGCGCTTCGCTTGCTGCTAAAGATGGAGACGAAGAACTTACGGGCGTGTCTCCAGTAGCACATTTTACCCCACCCGGACATCACACAAGCGATAAACACCCGATGGGACACAACGTGTCACCATGCGGATGAGGATCACCCGGGAAGAGGTCCAGGAAAACGCATTCAGCCGTTAGGCCATATTTATATTGCGGCCCCTTCAAGAGTGAGGGTGATGGCTTCTAAATAACGAAAAATTTGCACCCCAAAAGGAGATGACGTAATTCAATAGTGTCCCTAGTACCATGATGTCAATTCTTAAACATTCAACTTTCACACATTTTGTACTTACAAATGAGTTTTTTTTTCTTAGACATATTTTGTACTTACATGAATTTTTTTCTTACACAGATTTTATACTTACACAAACTTAATCTCAGGATACAGCAAAGCTCCTTGGTTTGGCCACATAAAAACTGAGGACCTGGGTGCGGGCGGGGGGCATGATACCGCGACAACATCGGGTTATTTGGGTAGTACTGTTTGAACGTGGCCAGTAGACGCTCTTCGAAAGCCCCGACCGAGTCCTCAGCCCTGTGAAGTGAAAATAAAAAAACTTGTTGAATGTTGAATTAAGAATCGACAGCACTCGGGACACCCCGATAGGCGCTCCGTCCCCATCTTCAACAGCGAGTAATTAAAGTAAAGGACCATTTTCCACGCCTTTAGGCGTATATGACATAAAGGGCTAGACCTAAATTTTTAAAGACCAATCCGCACAAGATGTGTGAGGTGGTAGCATCACGCCGGCCGCCTTTACTTCCCGGGACTGCACCCGGTACCCACTCGAGGCTGGGTCGACCTGAGAGCCAAGGTCATTTTAGAAAAAAGTCCGGTTTCGCCAGAGAGCGAACCCACGACCTTCCGATCCGCGGCGAGTGTCTAGCCGCTCGGCCACGGCAACTCCCTCGACAGCAAGGGAAGAGTCTAAATTTCGATGCTTCCAGTAACTGATTATTTATGCATCTCGCCTTTTTTTTGAATCTCGAGCGTGGGCACGATCCTCTTGTAACTCTTCAGACCATTCTCCTCAGACCGTAATGATCTGTCTGATCCTCGGTACTGTTCACTCGCTCCCAAAGGGACCACACAACATCCAGTCTGTCATACATCAGTTCACCACCAAGTAGTGCAGAAATAGCTAGTCTATCTGTCTCGTCATTTCCCAACACACTAGCATGCCCTGGAGAAAATATCCAAAGGATGCTAACTACCGGGGACCAAAACATTAAAGACTTTAGGATCAATACTGGACACGTTACGGTGGACACATCCTGGGGGAGAAACCAGCAGATAATCGCCACACAGGCATTGCAATAACGGGAAATAAAGGGATTAAAGAACAACAAATAAAGTGGTTTGGACACCTATCAAGAATACCCTGGTACTATCTGCCACAGCGAGCCACACTAAAACGTTAAAATGGGTATAGAGCGAGTGAAAGACCTCGGAAAATATGGAGTGATGGCATTAAGAACAGCCTTACAGAAATGAACATCAGTCTTAATAGTGCTCTTGGCACAGCCCATCAACGAACATTACATCTCCCCCCGATACTTCGATGAGGCACAAGGTGGAAGAGAAGAAGAAGCAGAAGAAGAAGAAGAAGAAGAAGGATGTGAGGACGCCCAAAAGAAACCATAAGACGAAAGTTAGTGAGATAGGCTTAAGCTGCTCAACTGGACATCCATGAAATTGAACTGATTGTACATTTAAAGGTAAAGGCTGGAGAATCGACTTAATTGCACCTATTTGTAGCCCAAACGGCTCAGGCTTTATTCGTAGAACAGCTAACTGCCTACAGAGAGCGTCTTACAGAGAACGACCTCCTTAGCTCCTGTGACGACCCCCAGGGATATCGGTAAAAATTGCAGTCGTAAACCGAACTGCAGTGAAACGAACCCACGACCTTCAGAGCGCGAGGCAGACGGCTTGACTGCATAAGGCAGATTGGAACCGAGGAACCAACTGCGAGCACTATGTGACACATAATGGCACAGCATGACAATGAATAATGAGTGTTCAATATTTAAAAGAAAATCCCGTGCTTTATTAATATCCTACCCCAGATGACGTCACAGGACAGTCCAATATTTTAGAGGGTGGTAAGACTGGGTTTCCCGGCTTTCTGATGCTTTTAACGTCCTCAAAACATCTAGAACTGGCCCTAACCCCCAACCCACCTACGTCCCACGAGAGAGCGCAGCCTAGGTCCCACGACTGCATGCAGCCTAGGTCCCACGACTGCAAGCAGCCAATCTTTTACCCTCTGAAATATTAGATTGTCCAGTGACCTGGGTATTTCCACTGTTTGGTGTAGGATATTAATAAAGCACTGAAAATCCGAATGTGTATGTACAATTGTGAAACATATTTACTAGCACAGGACAGCAAGTTGCACCTGGCTTGGGTAGCCGTTACGGGTGTACTGATTATTCCTTTTTTTTTTAGGTTGAAGGGAGTATCCTTGATCTCTCTTCTTGGTCTACCAGATTGAGATTCGTTATTCTCAGGTTTCAGGTTTGCACAACGGATCAACATCATGGCACACGGCTAGTAACACACAAGTGCTCTGTTTATCTTCTAACGCAAGTCTGAATCCGAAAAGGCTCAGCACAGTGCACAGGCTCTGTAGCACCGGCGATGATCCTGAAATACTTTACGTAGCTTTTCCTACTCCGAATTTTTACCCGGGTAGAGCAGATAGGCTATTCTTTTCGACTGGCAACTGCCAAGGGATATTTTACTTGCGCAACAATACACACGGGCGTCCGATCTCACTACCTAGAGACCAGGAATTAATAGAATTTCAAGTCCACGTGAAAAAATGACTTACCGGGGATTGAACCCGGAACCTCTAGCACTCCAGGCGGACACCATTCCTCGAGGCTTCGCAGCCCCCCCCCCTTTTCCCCGTTATTCTCCGGATTGTACGGTAACTTTTAGCTAGCAGCCCAGGCGGGACAAAACGATCGATCAGTTAACTGTAAACAATGAAAGTTTAGAATTATATTCACGCCAATGCTGCACTGTACACAAAATATCTTATCCATATGTGCCTAAACAAATCTGGTCAACACCAGATGCCTTTATTTCCCAAGGTATTTTTGTTTCTGAGTAGTTCAGTTAAGCCTTTGAAATTACAACGTGTTTCATTCGTCCGTTCATTCTCTCGTTTTCTCCCTCTTTCTCTTCCCAGCTGATCCAGATGATGTCTAGCAGTGTACTCTGATGATCCAATTTGGGGGAGGGGGTGGGATTTTACTGAGAGTTTTGAGCTACAGTAAAAGTAGCGATAGTGGCAGAACAAACTGGTCTTTTTTTATCTACAGCAGGGCTATTCAACCAAGTTTACTCAGGGGCCAACATAAGGAAAATTAAGATCGTCAAGGGCCATAGGTCAGAGTCCCAGCATAGAAACATCGTTAATACAATGCAGCTGGCAATGATCCACGGGCCATGTGCTAGGCCTTCGCGTACCGGATATGGCCCACGAGCCAAAGAAAGAAAGAAAGAAAGAAAGAAAGAAAGAAAGAAAGAAAGAAAGAAAGAAAGAAAGAAAGAAAGAAAGAAAGAAAGAAAGTGAGAAAGAAAGAAAGAAAGAGAGAAAGAAAGAAAGAAAGAAAGAAAGAAAGAAAGAAAGAAAGAAAGAAAGAAAAAGAAAGAAAGAAAAGAGAAAGAAAGAAAGAAAAAAGAAAGAAAAGAAAAGAAAGAAAGAAGAAAGAAAGAAAGAAAGAAAGAAAGAAAGAAAGAAACAAAAGAAAGAAGAAAGAAAAAGAAAGAAAGAAAGAAAGAAAGAAAGAAAGAACGAAAGAAAGAGATGAACATGTTGAGAGAGAAAAAGAAAGAATAGATCCCCTACGAAACCTGGATCTAGGGTTACAGTTCAAGAAAGAATTAAACCCGCCGGCACCTGCTCGCCACTTGTCAAACAGCTGGAAGACCCCCACATGCGGCTGTCCGGTGCCGACGAACTCCACCTCCAGGTTGGCCGTGTTTAACGGAGTGGCGTACAGGATGAAATCGGTGAAGTTGAAGAAGTTCAGCGAGCTGCTGAAAGGCCCAATAGTTACTGCAGGAAAGAAAGGTTTCACACAATATTTTAAAACTTTCTCTCACAGATTCTTGCTATTTAAAGGTAAGATAGTTTTTCTATAGATCAATCAGTACTATGTGGGTGTTCAATATCACGCCGTCTGCCTTTACTTCACAAGACGTTACCTTTTAGCCATTTAAGGTTGGGTCGACCTGACAGCCAAGCTCATTGGTGAATTTAAAAAAAATCTCGCTATGTTCGGATTTAAGTCCACAACCTTTCAGTTAGTAGGCGAGCGCATAGCCATTAGGTCACGGCTGCTTTAGACCTGCAAAGATGTAACCTTCCTCCTGTTGAGAAGATGTTTTTATGAAGAAGTGTCTCCTTTATTTTCCTGGGTCTCTCTCTCTCTCGTGCTTGCTTCCACTCGTACTTATTCGACCCAGATCGTTGTCTAGGGGTCATTAATGTAGAATCGACAAGGCAGACTATCTTCCATCAACGATCACACTCCAAATGATTGCCGACGATGGCGATGACCAATTCCATGCTTATCCCATGAAATATACAACAAGAAACAATATGACAATCATCCCGTGTGGATTCCGGGGCCCTATTATAGGGAAAACAAGAAGAGACCCACTGCCTACCCAAAAGAATGTTCTAAGAGTCGACTAATTGGGAGCTTTCTTCGAAGTCGGAGTGCATCTGCCTGAGAGGCAAGGAACCAACAGTCTGCACACAAATGTTTCAGAACTTTCAAACGGATGCACACGCAAAACCCAGGTTTTGGAACAGGACTGCAGTCCAGAAGTGGACGAACAACCAACTAGAGTTTACAGCTGGTGAACGCGAAGAAGAAGAAGAATATGACAAGCGAACTTACATTCTCCAGTCAAGAATCTGTTGCTCTCACGCTTGGTCACACAGCCATGCCACATTGATGCTGAACTACACGTAGTCAGTACCAGCCACAGGGGATCGGACAATGCCATTGTCCTAAGATATTATTTAACGTACATTCACCACAGGCACTTCGCAGTCTTACAAAAATCAAGTTCCACTTCAATTCAAGTCGAACACACTTTCATTCCGAACGCTCTAATTCGATCCAAACTCTCTGGGGCCTAGTCGCAGACTGAACACCTCATCCGCATTTCCCCATTCCTCAGTTTTGTCACTCAGTCATACCCTGAAGTTATGCCTATTTTCAGTATCATTACAAGTTACTTGTTACTTAGTAAAGAAAATATTTAGTTTGAAAAAAAAAAAAAAAAAAAAAAACTAATTAACACACAAAAAAAAAATGTTATTTAAAAGTACATACAATAATTATTGCTGTAAAGAGATACACATACTGTATCACATAGTTTAAAATAGGCATAATAAATAAAATGATTCTCTTCACACAATTGTTACATCTTCAAATTCATATAAACATTAACACAAACTTTACGAACATATTTATGTCATAATGCAAGCTGCATTCTGCAAGCTGTGTGTATTTTTCATAAAGAGCAGTAATGTAGACACTGTGTGCTTTTCGTTGACACAGGAACCGAGCAACAATGGAGCTGCTATGACCTCGTTAGCTTATTTGTTAACAAAAGTATGTCCCGGAAAAGTTAGTGGCAAATGTGTAGGTGTAGTGCCTAGAAGCTCGACTATCAGACCAAAGGTGTAAGGTTCGTATTGGCACAGACATATTAAAAACCCCTCCCCCTCAAATAAAAAAAAAGAGGGGGGGGGGGGTTGGGAGTCGCCGTGGCGAAGCGGCTAGACGCTCGCGTGCGCATAAGAAGATTGTGGGTTCGCTTCATGTCGAAGTCGTACTTTCTTCAAAAATGACCTTAACTCCCAGGTCTTGAGTGGGTACCGGGTGCAGTCCCCGAAAGTTAAGGCGGCCGGCGTGATGCTGACCACATCAACCTTCTTGTGCTGATTGGTCAATAAAAATATAAATCTAGCCCTATATGCCGTATATGCCTAAATGCGCGAAAAGGGTCCTTCGCTTTGCTTTACTTTTCACGTATCTAGCTGACCCGCAAATACGTGTAACAGTTGTTTTGACAGACGTCTTGTGACAGTTGTTTTGTCAGACGTCTTGTGTACTGTTGCGTCCCCTTGGCTGTGAATGTTTCAGTTCCACTTTATTTCTACGGAACATCGGTGACACAAGGTGCCACCATTCGGATAAGAATTCTCTGGGTACAAATCCCTGAAACCCAATTCAGCTGTCATGTTATAATGAGGCTCCCCACTACATCCAGACGGGACTTGAATTTACAAAACTTTGCGTCCCTTATTGGAGTGGATAAAAATATTATAAGCGGCACTGCTTTCTCTTGTTTGACTGACTTACGTTCAGCCCGCCCCCCCCCCGCCCCTCCCCCCTAAGGACATCGCACTGAGCGATAAACACCTGGTGACACAAAGTGCCACCATGTTAATGAGGATCCCCCGTGGAAAGGTCCCAGAAACCGCGTTCAGCCATTAGACCATAATTATGGTCGGGCTAAATTACCGAGCCTGGCAAGAGCGAGAGTGGGGCTTCAAAAAAAAAATTGCATCCCACAAGTTGATGAAACTAGTTTCAGTGTCTCTCTATCTATCTTCTATTACCCCACCAGGACTTCACTAAAGCGATAAACACCCAATGACACAAAGTGCCACCATGTGGATGAGGATCACCCGTGGTGAGGTCCCGGAAACCGCGTTCAGCCATTAGACTATATTATAGCCGGGCTTTATTGCGCCCCTGGCAAGAGACAGGGTGGGGCTCCAAAATAACAAACATTGCATCGCACAAGGAGATGAAACTAGTCTCAGTGTGCTTCCTAACCCCCCTCCCCCCCCCCCCCCCCTAAAATGCAGTACCAAGGTTAACATCATCATCGTCATCATCAGGTGCCTTGCCGACTGGCGTGGGCGATCATGCCTCTCCATAATCCACGATCTCCTGCAGCATATATCAGTTAAAATAGCTTCCAGAAATGATTAGAATGAAACATAAAACAGCGACACTCGTTTGCCTGTGCAGTCTGAGAAAGTTGTCGGTCATTTGTCTTAGTCGTTGTCGAGCCGTCACTTTACGTCACGCTTTTATGTATATTACATTCTCAGCAGACGTTAGGGCTTGTGTGTGTGTGTTGTTGCCTCCCCTTGAATGTGTATGTTTTAATCTCTCTTTATTTCTATGTCCTAGCTCCTCAGTAGTACATGTTGTAATTACTTAGAAGTTCCCAAACCAGTTTAGCTTATCTAATCTAGAGTTAACCAAACATTTTAAGAAAATAACAAGCTAATCTAGCAACCTACAAGATTACTACATGAGACCGGAAAGAAGAAACAACAACATAAAATGTAATCGGGAAGCTACTATTCCGTCCCATTGTGGGAGACAATTTTTTACGTTTTTTTTTTTGTTTTAAGGCCCCACCGTAACTGTCGTCGGGGCCCCTAATATAATCTAACTGTTTTATAGGGTTTCCAGGACTTGCGCCTAGGGGAATCTCATCCAAATAGGGGCACTTTGTGTCACCATGTTTTAATCACTCGTTGTGTTGTCCCGTAGGGTTGAACTTCAATCCCTCACGTACGCGAAGAGCTAAAAGAAAACGAAACCAGAATGAAAGTGCATGAGAAGGGGGAATACATTAAAAAATTAAAATCGGTAAACTCTTGCTGAACTTTGATCCCGGCAGGACTATAAACGCCTTAATTAGCAGACGCGTTCTCAAAAGAGACGACTGATTTGATCACCGCATAAAGATTGTATGGTAGTAACAACTTGTCGCTTTCAGCTTGGTGGTCATATCAATATAAAATATGGCAGATTGGTTTAACCGCCGCATTGTGAATACCCATACAATGCTCACCGAAACTTCAGATGTCCTGTAGGTTTCCCCAATGTGGGAGTTTTTTGCATTGTTTGCTTATCAACAGACTATGTCACAAATTAGCTTAAGTTTTTTAAATGTACACGCTTTTTAATCTTAAAACAGTCACTCAATAAGCAGCCCGGGAAATTTAGGAACACAAGCAAATGTATTTTGCGTCTAGTGTGTGAGTATTTGGATGTTCTAAAAGCAAGTGCTGTGTGGATTGACGGTAAGGATACATTTAATTCGGTTGTAACATTTTTACTTGTTGCCTTGGTGGGATACAACAAGCCCTCTTGCAAGTCATGTAGTCGGATTAGCGCTTCCATGTATATACGTCGAAAGTAACTTGTATTAATCATTTCCGTCTGTATGAAAATTGGTTGTTGATTTTTTTTAAAAACAAAACGTGAACATTGCGGCTATGAGGCTTTCATTAGCACATACACAAAGCAAACAGTACCACACAAATACACAAAATCACTTAGCTGGCATCTCGAAGCAGCCGGGTCGATGACTTCTCAGCAGACTGCCGACACGCGTGGGCCAGAGAAATAAATACCCCCTATGGAGTAACAGGGGCCATAACTGAGGGGCTATGTCTAGTTATGTCCAGTTGTGTTTGTCCAGCCTAGGTTTCTGTTATCCCGTTGAATTACTGTCAATAGGGAAGGGAGGGGGAGGACGAAACAGGCGCGGAAGACGATAAAGAGATACTGTATAGGTAGACTTACAACCACTTAAGGTAACGATCTGACAAGAAAAGGCCACTAAAAAGAGATACTTGGAAGCAGGGGGATATCTGCAGCAGTAAATATCAAGGGATTGGAATGTTGAAGAAGTAGTAAGTTCCAATCAGTAATACCTAATGTTGGCGTTGGATAGAACATGCATTGGGAAAACCTGACAACAATATAACTAGAATGTCCTTGCACTGGAACCCACAGGCGCATGTTAATACAGAAAGACAAAAAAAAAAAAAAAAACAAGGAGAAGAGAGAAAGAGACTGAAATTAAAAAGATAGCGAGGACATGGGGAGAGCTGCGTACTATAGCGTAGGAATAGAACGATTTGGCATGAGTTGGTTGAATGCCTATGCACCATTGCAGGTTAGACAGGCAGAAGAAGAAGAGAAGGATACCTAATTTCGCATG